CTCTCAAAGTTGGGTGGTTTTGGGTGGTGTTTGTGAGTTATAGGTGTATGTTAGGTGGTATTTACACACAAACACCATATAAGTGTTGTTTGATAAAAGAATCACCCTGTATTAAAGTTAGCGATCGTATAACAAAAATTAAATTCCGAAATTTTATAAATATTCGTCAATAATACAAGATAGACAATAAGACGTCTATTAATAAWTTGAAATCTAGGAATGCCAAATACTGGTATCGAACGCACATTTGATAAACACAACTACAGACAATACTATACGAGTATATAATAGTGGACCAATACGGTAATCGTATAATAAAATAAAYCTGCCTAACAAAATGATATGTCCCAATATAATATTATTATCTATCGAGTTAGAGACTTAGCACTAAGCAGCGAACCATAGAAATAGACTAGACGACTTGTCCTAATATAGTTTTTTAAGATGTATATTGTATACCTATATTAATAAATAATAAAAATATAATGTTTAACTAATACAGACAATACATTGCGAAATGTAGTAATATTTTTTATAGATATTGTCTGATAAGGAGAGGAGTGGAATTGGGTATAAAAACAGAAAGGGGCCAAAAAATATTGGCCCCCTTATAGAAAAATGTCTAGTTACGTGCCTGCACTACGTTTAACTTAGAATAAAGGTAGTCTTTATGTTCTATAATATAGTAAATGGCTTGACCCTGGTATRTAGGCGTCTAATCTCTTTTTTGCTTATACACGGGAGGGCGACTGTATATCGGTCTTGTCAACTGTTTAGTCCAGTGATCGACTCATTCGAGTTAAGTAGTGTGCTTACGCAGAATAAATAATTATAACTTAAAGAGTTAATAAAGTATATATATATATATCATTATATTAATTTAAAGTGTGTATTCTTTTCTAAACAACCACCTAATAATTAATATATGAAACATCAATTGGTTTTCACCTACTACAGAGAACGGAATAACAAATTGTCGTCTTTYGGATATAACTGAAGACACAATATAAAATATAACGCAGCATCATTGTCCATAAACCGTGGTGCTCATAACAACATTTTGAAGACAAGATTTTTTTTTATTAATGCTTTACTACATAAAGTTTGTTAATTATTATCTTAAAAAAGTTTGAACGCGTTAATGTCAGGAATTACTGGTTTAAAAAAAATGTTTTTTTTTTGTTGGATTGTCCATTTATCGAGGAAGGTTATAGGCTTTTTAGAAAGTTCACAGGTTAAGTCCCAACAGTTTTAACAAATCTATCTCCCATAAGAACCTATGTTATCTTAGAAAAGTGATTCCTCTAGTAATTTTGTAATTAACACTAAATGATAATAAAGTGCTGAACAGTATGAAAAAGTCCAACCAGAAAATACTTCGTGAGTTTGATTAATTATTATATTTTCCAAATAAATAAAATATTGGTAATTTTGGGGGTTGAACCCTATAGGTACACATTTCAACATTTGTATGCAACAACAAGTTTAGTATGAGTCATCACTTTATGTCACTTTGCAGTAGATCAAATATATTATATTGAACCTATCCTCTCCTCTTCCCCCTAAAACCACCATAAATTGTTACTTATTATTTATTAGTTTATTAGTTTTATTTCAAAAACATCTTTCGCTCACTTATATTATATATTATTAAAAAAATACTTCATATTAATATTATAGTTTACGTTTAAATAGTTTTTTTTATAAATTGTTGAACCCAAAAGTTGAATAGCTATTATGATGGCGTTCTACTGATAGATATTTTAACMGTTAGACATAAAATTATACCTTTGGCGATGGGACAATGCTGAACGTAGAAATCATGCGGTCCGGATACTCTTCACGGATTTTCGCTATCATAAGCGTGCCCATGCCGGCACCAGTACCACCTCCCAGCGAATGCGTCATTTGGAAACCTTGTAGACAATCGCAACCTTCTACTTCTTTCCTAAAACACAAAATATTTTTTCTTTATGTAATTTTTTTTAATGATTTAAAATGTATGCCTATATCGTAATGTATGGGAGACATGATGCTCAACTCTTTCATGCTATTAATTCATGGGTAATATAATTTTTTTCCAAATAACAAAATAATTTAGCCGTATAGGTAAGATGTGCACCTATACTATGTTTTGAATTTTTATATTTGATTATAGCATAACAAATTTATCCATCTATGTTTTATAAATTATTTTTAATTCTTCTTCTTAATTTTTTAAAATAATATCTATTCAAATAATCAAAAATTAAATTTTCAATTGATAATCTCAAATAAATATAGCATGTTTAAAAAGAAAAAAATGGCGTTATC